TGCTGTATTTCTTTCTCTTGAATTTGAGAGAGAATTCCTTTAACCAGCAAACATGGGGGCTGTCTAATGCCATCATCAGTTGCTCAAAGGAATTATTCTGCTCCATGTTATTGGTCCCTGGGAAAATCTTTGTTTCTCCATTAATGTCACAAGTCATTGATTATTACTTTGTGGCAAAGGCTAGAATGGTCTCTGGCTTTAAACCTGACTGTTCCAGGTTCAACTAGATCTTCAACTATATTCTCAAAAAGCTGTCCCAAGGTGAAGTGAATGAACAATGTACTGAATTTCTGGTGGACTTCTATCAGGCCTTTGATTCAAGGCAAAAAGCAACTTGTGGGTTCTCATGAAGCAAGTCAGTGTCCCTGGGATAGCTGTATTATAAGTAGAAGAGTTTTATGGTGGAATGTAAAGCTGTTTTTGGGTTAATGCTAAATACAAGGTGTGATTTCCTGTCTTCACAGGTGTTTATCAAGACTGCATCTTGTGATATTTTTGTTTACTATTGGCATTGATTGGTTAATGGGTAAACGGAAAGAGGCAAATGTTTCCAACGTTGAATTAAACACCACATTATTTTAAGATCTTTGTCACGGGTGGGGGTCCTCCAGGAGGGCCGTGATCTCCTTGAGGCCCCTTCCCCCGTGCCAAGCTGGTCCAAGGGCACCCTCAGATTCTCGACCGCCACGTCTTTGATGTTTGTATAAGTTTGGGAGGCTGCCTTACGCCCTCTTGGACACGGTTAGTTGGGACCTCCATCCCCGTGGTTTCCCGCACTCTCCGTAGGTCTCACTGTACAATGGGTGCTCCCTGGGCACCCTAGCCTTATGGGCTATGCGTGGCTCCAACCACCCCTTATACCACGCCCCAAGCCTCGTAGCTGGACTAGATGTTGTTCGGTCTCTTGGTCTACTCCCACGCCCCTCTCTCCGGGGCCTTCTTAAGTACTGCCGCCCCTCTCCTGGGGCTCGCGGTGCCCACCCTGGGCCTTCTCTGTAAAGCCACCCCTCTCCTGGGGACTTCTCTGTAAAGCCGCCTGTCTCTCGGGCCCACCGCACTGCTACCCTCTTTCTCCGGGGCTCACCACACTACTACCCCCTCTCTCCAGGGTTTACCGCAATGCTACGCCTGTCTCCGAGGTTTACCGCAATGCTACGCCCGTCCTCAGGGGCTCGCCACGCCCGCACTGGGGCTTCTCAGTAGTACCCCCTCTCTGGGGCTCGCCATGCCTGTGCTGGCGCCAGGGTCCCCACGCCGCTGTGGGATCCCCATGAGGCCTCCTCCAACCCCTAATAGCCTCACCCAAGCCACTGGTGTAATCCATAACAACAACAATGCAAAACACAAGCCCCTAGGCTATAACATAACCATAAGCCACCTGGCTATAACAACATGGCTCCAATGTCCCAGAGCCGCCATCCTTTACTCGACTTGAGTAGTACCTGTGGTTCTCGTATCTTAGCTCCAGGAGCTCCTGCCCCTCTGGCTGCTGGCAGGGAACTGCTAGCCTGGCCTCCGCCCCCGCTTTATGAGGGCCAG